TGGATTCAATGTTATAGTCAATGCGAAATACTTTCTCTATCCCCTTAGAGATAGCTCTGAGTACACTTTTATGGTAATAATGAATGGGGAGGCCAGGAAAATACACCCAGGCCACCACATTAGTTACATCAGGGTTAACAGTAGAGAAACTAGGGGACCAAGGCTGCACCATGAGGTAATGACCATATATAACCTATGGGCCATCTGTAAGAACACGTAGGTAGTCTTCAGTCGAGTGGAACTTGACCATATAGTAATCATTATCGAGGTCAATCAGGTGTAATCGATTAGTGGACTTCCATAGGCTATGAAGTTTTGCCCATAGTGCTTTATATCAAATCGGCTTCCCGAGCAGTTGAGTAATCACTTTGAGTTTTATATTTTGTGCTAAGAGGTCATGCACTCTATCCAAAAAACTGAATTTTTGGTATTCCATTCTCCGTGCCAAAACTAAAATCCCCGTCCCTAATCTTAATTTCATCTCGGTCGTTAGCATTTTGATGACTATTGATAAATTTATCTCTAAAGGAGGGTTTTACATTTGGCGCTTTCTGTGGCAGAATCGATTCTTCAAGGTGCTTGGTTTGCGATTTCTCACCTATAAGTTACTTAAAATTTTCTTTCTCTCCGCTCATTCCATAAGCCCCATCCCCAATCACAGTGTCCACTATATACCCATTTTCAAGACACAAATTCACACACACACACATATATATATATATATACACATATGAAAAAAAAAAAGAAAAAAGAAAAAAGAAAAATCCCATCACATAATTAAAGCTATGAAAATGCCCCACTCTCCTACCCCCATTATTCAATATTGGGTATGTTGCTACAAAAAAATATTCAAATTGTTGGTAGTTTGGTATTTAATCCCCTAACTTTTCAATCAGATTTGTCGGTAGATTTTCTGATATGATTACATGTTGAACATTATTTTTATATTTGTACGTAGTAACATAATTAATCTCCAACTCACCTTAAAATCCTAACTCCATAAAATAATTATAGTTCCAAAAATTAATTACATACCCATTTATAAAATTCTAAATAAATCATAAAAAAAAAATATTGTCTGAATATAATTAAGTTCACAAATAATTTTTATGTCATGTCTAAATTTATTCCAAACATTATAATCAGAACTATTCTCCCTTGGACCACCAATAGAAAATTTATTGTGCGACCCTTTTTTTTTTGGGGTATATTTTTATATATATATATATATATATATATATATTTTCATGGGTGAAGGTGGAATAAAACTCATAAGCTTATATGGGAAATATATATATATATATATATATTATACACATATAGATGCCATTGGACCTACAAGATTAGGCAAACATAAATATAGTTAAATATAAAAAATCTAAATCTATAAATAAATTATCATAATTGCATCACAATATTTCTCTTTTTCATGCATGTAATTATTATATTGCGTACGGCGTTTGATAATATGAGTGGTGTTCATCTTCCAATCACTTGATTATCTTTTGGTCACGAAAACATTGTATGTAGTCGTTGTCAATTAAAGATTAGAATGATTTCCATAGCCATCGTAATAGAATATGTTGACTAAAGGATATTACTGTCATTTTCACTCAATATTCCAAAGTTTTTATTTAATAAATCATGAATTTTTAATATCACGTAACTTTTAAATTTATACACTTGACTATTTAATAAATTATGATACAGTAATTATTGAAATGTATAAATTTTTATTTTTATTAAAAAATTGAAGTTAACTAAATATTATAGTAATAATATTTTAATTTTCAAAATTAAATTTTTCATTTTGTAAAATAATTAACCGTATAATTTTAAAATATAATAGCTAAATGCATTTTCAAAGGTCTAACGTGTGCACAAACGTGTAATTGAGAAATTTCAATTAACAGTCTAATTGACATCATTAATTTTTCTTAATACTTGACATGTCACGTTAATGAAAAAAAAAAACACGTGCATTTATCATCATCATCATTAACTAAAGTAATTTTAATATTAGATTAAAAATAAAAATATTTTGATATTTATTTATAATAAATAAGTTAACGTAATAATTGAAATTAATATTGTCTAATTCTTTTTTTTTTTAAATAATAGTTTAATATTTTATGTTTATTTTTTACTACAAGTAACCAAATGAGTTTGATTAGATTGTTAGTCATAATTAATAGTTAACTAAAAATAATTACGTAATTAAATAAAATAGAACTTTTAATCTTTAATTACCTACTAATTACGTTGACGTGTCACTTCATAAGTAGAAAGGCGTTGGGTTCACTCTCATCATTCCAACTGCCACCACGTTTTATTGCAGTGCGTGTCAAGTGCAAATACGGATGCCGATTTGATGGGTAATTATTATTTTCATGAGGACCAAAATGGTCTTTTTACTCGAATAAATTCGGATTAATATATTATGCTGGTTTTTTTTTAATTTTTTAAATTAATGAAAATATTATTTTTCTTAAAATTATTACTTTTTTTTTTAATAAATAAAATTGATAGACCGACGAACAAAGTATAAATTCATTTATTAATTTTAAAAATTATCATTTAATAAATATTACAACTCAATTTAATTTCGACTTATTTAAATTAATAAATCCTTAAGAAATTAAGTCAAAAATTTTGATAATTTTTTTATAATTTCCTCTATGAAAATATTTTACAAAAATAAAAATTATAATAAATCTTATAAAATTTATAAAGAAATATTTTTAGTTAAGCTTTAGAAAATGGAACACGAAAGGTACAAATTTAAAATATAAATACAAAAATTTTATAGTAAATTTATGTAATTCTATTGGTTCCCGATCTACCAAACCCGCAATAGCCGGTGTAGCTCGTTCCTGTCGCCCCCAGAAATCACCGGATATCATGGGTTTCCCGCGAAAACTGCAGGTTCTTTTAACGAACCTGAATTAAAAAAAATTAAAAAATTGCCTCTATTTTTTCTACCTGCATTCTTGGCACTTTTTTTTCCACCATTTTTTCGCAGGGTCTCTCTCTGTGCCGACACTATCTTCTCCAAAAAAAATTTGATTCTTTTTCCATTTTGATCTTTAAAAAAGTCATCTGCTTATGTAATCTTTGTCGCGGCTCTTAGAACCCAGCTTTTTTTATTTTTATTTTTTTTCAGTTCATCGTCCTTTTAGATTTATTTCTATACGATTGTGCTGGGTGTTGAAATTAGGTGTAGCAGGTGGGGTGATGGTATTTGGCGGCATTTTCATTTTAAAAACATGCTGAGCTCTAAAGGTGAACTGACACGAGATTTAGGTAGAGTTTTCTTGTCACTGAATATCTGCTTTATGCTTGATTCTTTAATTTTAATGATTTTTTATGCGATCGACAATGCTTTTTTTGTGTGGGTCAATTGCATTATTAGTCTAACTTCATGGTGGTTCAAAGGGGTATTTTCCGGGGATTTTTTTTTTTCCCGAAAATGAACTTGAAGTTGGGGCTTAAAATGGGTCTCATTCATTTTTCTTAGCTTTTGATTGATATCCTTTTTGTTGCAGAGGTTGCAATGATTAATCCAACCCCTGAGAGGTTGTCCAGCAATATTATAATCACAGAATCTATGCACATTCATGGAGAAATAGAATCTTTTAATGTGTTGGGTTTGTAAAGCTGTTAGTCAAAAAGGAGAGAAAGATGCCGTTTGACGAGAAAACTAAGGATGTTCTTGAGAATAACATGAAGAAGGAGGAGAAAAATGTGTTGGTCGGGATTCGCATAGACAGCGAAAGCTGGGAGCTTCTCGACTGGGCTCTTGTGAAAATTGCAGAACCAGGAGACTGTGTCGTTGCTATTCATGTCTGTCAAAGCTCTGGTACAGCCTTCCTCTCATTAGGCTTAGTTGAATTTTGAGCTTAACTTCGATAATTATTGTTAGTTGAATTTGATACAATGTGGGTTATGGATACAGATCATGCTTTGAAGAAGAAGCCTTTGTTGGATGCCTACTTAGAAGTATATGAAGGTTTATGTTCTGAAAAGAAGGTATTTGACGAAAGTACCCATATTTGGTTCCTTACAATTTGGGAACCGTTTATGACTTCTCATATGCTTGAGTTTCAGGTAGGTCTTACAGGAGAGGTCTTAATAGGAAGGTCTGTTAGAAAGACTCTGGTTAGAGAGGCGAAGAGCTGTGCTGCTGCAGCTGTAATTGTCGGGATAAGCAAGCGAAGAGCTCTAAGGTAGGAGATAAAATTAGCGAATTCATCAAGTTTTGATTAGTTTAAGCTTGTGTTGTTTATTCTCTGATTAGTCTAAATAGACATATATCGCTTCCAGGGGTAGGACTTCCATGGCTAGATCTTGCTCTAAGCAGTTACCTCCAAGCACGGATGTTTTGACCATGCACAATGGGAAGATTGTCTTCAGAAGGTGCAACAATAATCAACTACCAGGTTTGGTACTCGTTAGTTGTTTGGTTGTAAATAAAATAAGATAGTATATTCTCCAAATCAACTAATTAAGTTGTCTTGAGTTATCTTAGGTCTAAACGGAGATCCTAGACCAAGTTTTTGTCGTCACAAGAACTCATCTGTCAAGGACTATGAGTCTGAGTATGGTGATTCTGAAACTGGGACTGATATATCCAGTTTCGAGGTGACAGGAAGCTCAAAACAAGAATCAAGGGACAGTGGTGGTGGGGAGACAAAAGATGAGATGTTGAACATTGTCTACGAAGATGAAGAAGTTTCTTCGAGAACGAGTTCTCATTTTGTGGGAGACTTTTTGGAACCAAGACCTGGTTGGCCCTTGCTCCGCAAACATAGTCCTCTGTCTCCACAACCACAGCTTACACAGAAAATGTCTGTAGTGCAATGGGTGATGAGCTTGCCTGACCGTTCCCTGCAGCAAAAACTACGATCTTCTACTTTTGAAGAAAATCCACTGGAAAATGAGTCAAGTCATGTCGTGGGTGAAGATGATAGTCATACTTCATCTGTAACAAACATGCCATGGACAGAATTGGATATTCCACCGAAACCGAACCCTCCTGGTTGCAAATGGTTCAGTTATGAGATTCTAAGAACCGCCACTTCTCAATTCTCCTCAGGTTTGTTTTAGCACATTCATTCTTCAAGATATATATAACTGAAATGAAGCTTGTTTCTTATTGATTTTGCAATCTGCTACTTCTAAAATTTTGTTTCCATCACAGAAAATCTAATTGGCAAAGGAGGGTCCAACTGCGTGTATAAGGGGACACTTCCAGATGGCAAGCTAGTTGCAATAAAGATCCTGAGAACATCCAAAGAAGCACAAAAGGATTTTGCCCATGAAGTTGAAATCATCTCTTCGGTGAAACACAAAAACATCACTCCTCTGATTGGTATTTGTGTCAAAGATAATGATCTTATTTCTGTTTATGATTTCTCGTCTAAAGGCAGCTTAGAGGACAATCTACATGGTAAGCTAAGCATTCAGGACTATCATACTTTTCTTCTTATTGCCTAGAATTGTCAGTCTCTTGATGAAGCAAGTTGATACATAACATAGGTAAGGAGGATAAACACGCATTGTCATGGGGAACGAGGTTTAACATAGCTATTGGAGTAGCAGAAGCTATAAATTATTTGCATACTGAATGTCCTCGCCCTGTGATTCACAGAGACATTAAGTCTTCAAACATACTTCTGTCGGATGGATTTGAACCTCAGGTATTTAATTACATAGCAGTCATGGTTGTTGGAAAGTAGATATGAAGTTCGTCAGATAGTCATGAAAATGAATTGTGTCATAAATGTATCACATGCCTTATACTGCTTTTTCAATGTGATAGTTGTCTGATTTTGGCCTTGCAATCTGGGGACCAACCACATCATCCTTTCTTACTCAAAGTGATGTTGTTGGTACATTTGGCTATCTTGCTCCTGAATATTTCATGTATGGTAAAGTCAGCGACAAGGTTGATGTCTACGCTTTTGGTGTTGTTTTACTCGAGTTGCTATCAGGAAGAGAACCAATATGCTCTGAGACTAGTAAGGGGGAGGAAAGTTTGGTTATGTGGGTAAGAGTCTAAACCAGACTAAAAATCTTTCATATTTTGTTCTGTACATGTATAAGAAGGAAGCACTTACGGATACAGGCAAGGCCCAGACTAGAGAGTGGGAATGTGAAAGGCATACTGGACCCTGATTTGAATGGAAAGTTTGACGAAGTTCAAATGCAGAGAATGGTTCTTGCTGCTACCCTCTGCCTCACACGAGCATCTAGGCTTCGCCCAAAAATAAGAGAGGTACTAGCATTATAAGGGTTTAGCACACATAATTAAGCTATTGTCATGCTCCATTTGATCAAAATTTACTGTATTCACATTCTATCCTTAGATTTTTATTTATATCTTTCTCATTTCATGTATAATTGAATCAACTCTACTTATATTTTCAGTCCTACAAAAATAGATTTATATTCTCATAGTATGAAGGAAAGGTGATTAATTTGAATTAGATATAAAATTAATTTGTAATTAAAATGTTATTTTCATTCAAATTTTAACTATGTATTATCATTTATATCCAACAAAAGTAAAACTTGAACCAACACAATCTTAAATTCATTGGCACAAATCTCAAAATCTGCCTTTGGTAACTTAAGATAAAATTGAAGTCACCATAACCTATAATTCACCTTAGATTTTTCTATGTTGCATGTGTCACTACGCTATTTCTTAATCTTGGTAACTATCAGGAAAATGTTTCAGTAACAAGATTTCCTCTTAAGAATTTTCACTTCCTTTGGCAGATTCTGAAGCTTCTACGAGGGGAAAATGATGTTGAGAAGGGGACATGCTCTCGAAATGAAGATCAAGAGAACCAGGATGGCATTGATGATGAAGTTTATCCGAATTCAAGCGCAGAGTTACACTTGAGCCTAGCAATGTTAGACGTTGATGATGACTCTATTTGGACATCATTTAGTAGCATGGAACAACGAAATAGCCTTTATTTAGATGAATATTTAAAAGATAGATGGAGCAGATCTTCAAGCTTTGATTAATTTTTCTTTGTTGTTTTTCTTTTCCAGTCACTTGTTTTTACAATCATGTCCGCCAGAGACTTGACTGTGGGGAGTTTGTATCAGTACGGTTGAGTGAAAGAACACAAAAGAAATAACAACACCCAGTGGGCGAGGTGGCATGTAGGCTGTAGGGACCAAATTATGTAGAAGCCCCATTTGAGGTGATATAATGAAAGGATTAAAATTTAAATTTAATGAGAAGTCTATTGTTCTCTGCTTAATTCTCTTTTGCAACATACAAACTTAAGATTTTCGTGTTCAAACATTGTTCTATAAATGTGGAGAGCTCCATCTTCATTTCTGTCAGAGATAAATCCAGTTACAAATTGGCAAATATGCAGGCTATAATCAGAACTGTATGGTGTATGGCAAAGCATATATGTCTCCCTCCTGCAAGTAATAAGCGCATGGGTATAAAATGAAGCTTCCATTATTCAATTCCTCATCTTTGGATTAGATGTTCTGCTCATGCATCTCACAGGCAACCTTCTGTAATGGAACCATTCTCGATCATCAAACTCGGCTTCACGTACTTTTTCCATTAATGGGGGAACCCAGTTGGCGATTAAGTCTCTGACCAGTTGTAGTTCTGTCTGCAATTGGCTGTTTGCAGAGGAACCAAATGCCGGACACATTTCAGTTTTCAGTCTGGTAATAGAACCTTTCGTCATCGTAGAGCATACTGGTCTTCCAGACTTCTCTTTTGGATCCTTAAAGTCAGCCCGGAAAATGCTAGCTGTTGAGATAATAAGATTGTTGGTATATGCATACAGGTGTTTGAGCAAGAACACAAGAAAAGCAGTACAATCTCCCAAAAGAGGAACCAAGTGGGTGATTCACTCGCCATGGTGATGGCAGACACTGGAAATTGAGCAGAAATGTCCTTTCCTCTTAATTTTTTCGCTGTAGTCAGAAGAGTCATATAAGCTATCCGAAATGGGCTGCTCAAGTTCTTCACTGAGGTTGCTTCTATCCATTTCTAGGATCTCATCCTTCTTTTTCCCTCCATTGTCATATCTTTCTTGAATTTCCTTCTTACTGCACTCATGGCTATGCCTTCTGTGGCGTTTGTCCTCTCTAACCTCTCCTTCCTCCAATTCTTCTTCCATCTCTTTTAACCTTCTTCTCTTCTCCTCCCTTACCCTTTCTGCCTCAGCTTTTTCTTTTTTGTCCTGATGTAAAAGTCTTTTTTGTATTCGTTCATAATCAATGATATTATGGTGATTTTCCGTTCATTAATTTACAGTAAGAACAAGAGCAGTATCGTCAGATAACTAAATAAAGAACACAATCAAGAATTATTTCAAAAAAAAAAAAGGAATACAATCAAGAAACCTCAAGATCAGTCATCAACAGATGAATACCCTTTTTTTTTTCTAATCTCATTAAAAGATAACGAATAATAAAAAACAATCCACCAATCTACAATCTGCAGGGAAAGAAATAAAATAACTAGCAAGAACAACAGTACGATCGAATATCTAAACAAAGAACACAATCAAGAAACCTCAAACAGAAAGACTGTCCATTTCTCTAATCTTCTCAAACACTAATAAAGAAAAAAAAAAAACCCCATCATCCACAATGTTCAGTAAAAAAAAAAAATTAATAAAATAAATTGCAAAGACAAACCTTCATCAGTTTAATTAAGACCTCGCCGCTCGCTCCCTTCCACGCATACCCGGGAGAAGGGAACTGTATGCAACTCGACATTGATGTTGATTAAACAAATCTCAATGAAGAAAAAAAAAACAAAGAAACTAGATTTCTTTATTTGTTTTGGTAACAAGATGAAGTTTTATTTGCAGAAAAAAAATCCACCCTGTATACAAGAAACGGTAAAGCTAGCAGGTACTTGAAGAAGAAGAAGACGCTGAAGTCGGTGATAATTGCTGAAACTAAAAACGCAAATGGAGGTGTTTATTTAACTCGTGGTGTTTCCCGCGTAATATATATATATATATGTATATATATACATTAATGTTTTTACATTCTTGCCCCTCGACAAAAATGGATTTTTTTGTTATGTATAATTGTTTTAAATTAAAATAATTAATATTCATTTTTTATAAGTTATTTTGTGTATTTTTAAATAATTTCAATAATTTTTTCCAATAAAAAATTTTCAGTTTAACTTATCATGTTTACAATAATTTTTAGTTTCTTAAATATCCCAATTTAGTTTTCTTTTTTCCTCTATCAAACATTAATAATGGTTAGAGGTCATGAAATTCATGTTTTTTTTAAAAAAAAATAGGTAAAAGAATATAGATTTAATTTAATATAATTAAAACTATTTTATAAATTTTATATAAATAAGAACTCGTTCCTAAAAATATAATAAAATATATTATTTAAAAAAATTAAGTAGAATTAATTTAATCAAATAATTATTCTAAAATAAAATTTGATGTTTTGCTAACATAATGAATTAGTGGTGAAATTTTTTACATTTTGTTTAAAGATCACGTGTTTAAATTTCACAAGAAACGTAAAATTGATCATTAATGCGTGTATTATGAGTTGACATTGGAGATTAAAAATTTAAATTATTAATTTATTATTGAGATTATGATAATTAAATTGAGTTTAATTTCAAAAGAATCATGATATATATTTAAATTATTTGACCAATAAAAAAAGTTTAAATTTAACTCAACAATGAGACATTTATTAATAAACTAAACAATTCATTATTCACGGATGGAGTAGAAGCTTCGTCTATTAAGCTTCCTCCATAATCAACCCTCTAGAATGTGGTTCTTGTTGATTCTTTAGAACCTTTGGTAGAGTAGGAATTAGTTAGTGGATTCACAACTCGAGATTTAGGGTTTTTTGAACAAGGAGCAACAAGAGAGAAAGGTATATTTACTGTTACTTATCGAGAGGCTATGGGTTCCGACATGTGGCTGCTCGTACATAAGATGTTCGACGTTTTGCTTCTGAGAAGTCTTCTGCCGAATGACACAAAAATTCATCATTAAAACCTTTTCTGAATCATGGCACTGACTTTGTTAGAGAGAAGCTTGGCTATTCGCGGAGTAGTAGCAACTTCTCATTTCCACTCATGGCCCCGGAGATTCTGCTCAAGAGCCCCGATAATTGTTGATGCCGAAAATGAATCAACAAGATTGGAATCGGTTGATTACAGCGGGGAAGCTTCTTCGACGAATTACTCTAATGGAATTCATCTTTCTCCCATGTTTGGCCACGGTAATACTCGTTTTAATGGTTTTGATATAGAGATTGTGGACCATGATACTTGGCAGATATCATCAAGCTTAGCCCAGGCATGGAGAGTATTGGATAATTCTTTTACAGAAGCTGATAAAGGGATTCACGATTGTTCTTCGATTGTTAAGGGTGACCCAGATGTTGATGACATCGATAATATGAGAATTCATGGTGATCTTTTCTATAAGATTGATCGAGGCTCCAAGGAGTTCGAGGAGCACAACTATGATTTCCACAGGAAGAAATCTCAGAAAATGAAGAATGATCACAAGAAATACAAAAAGAATGCGGTATCTTTGAACAATTCTAATGATCATAGAGAAGGCAAAAGGCATAATTTGGTCTCTAGAAGTGAGACATTTTCCAGATTTGTGAAGAATGATGGTGTTGGTTCTTTGCTTGATACAAATGAAAGTTGTGGTGGTGGGAAAAAGAAGGCAAGAATTCCTACATTTAATCAGCTAACAGGTCCTTACCATGAACCATTTTGCCTGGATATTTATATATCAAAAGCCTCAGTTCGAGCCTGCATTGTTCATCGAGTGACTAGCAAGGTTGTTGCTGTGGCTCATTCCATTTCTAAAGACATGAAATTTGATCTGGGTTCGACTAGGAATTATACAGCCTGTGTTTCTGTGGGGAGGATTCTAGCTCAGAGAGCATTGGCAGATGATATTCATGATGCTATATATACACCCAGAAAAGATGAGAAATTGGAAGGTAAGCTTCAGATTGTGCTTCAAGCTATTATTGATAATGGTGTTAATGTGAAGGTGAAACTTAAACAAAGGAAGGCTAAGAAGGCTGGCCAGGTATCTACATACTAGAAGCTGTAGGTGAAACTTAAATCGGTTCTGCTCTGTTGCCTTGAGTTTCTTCCTTAGAGGTTCCTTTTTTCATGGCATCTGATTGTTTTTGAGAAATATTGAGAAAATTGAAGCATCTCCTAATTAAGGCAAACTGGTCATGGGGCACTGAATCAGGGTGAAGTGAAAAATTAAGATGGCCTTGAGCTATTTTGGTGGTGAGAGAAATGTTGGTTCTTTTCCCCTCTTTCTTTTTTGCTTTTTTAATAGAAATATGAGTTTGAAATTGAGAGAGGATCAAGAAGTTTTTGATATACTTTTCTTTGATACTTTTTATTCCATGTTCAAAGAGAGATTTATAGAATTGTTACTATTCATTTTTTAATTTCCATGGTCAAATAAGGGTTTTTCACCGTCATTTATGTCAATTTCCTTCGTTTCATCTCAAAAAAAGAAAGCATAATCTTTGGCAATACACTAAGTAAATTAAGTTCCGTTTATTTTATTCAAAAAAATTTTATTTTACAATATATTAGTAAAGTAAGTTTAATTTATTTTATTTAAAATTTATTGTCTAAATTTTTAATTTCATTAAATTAAATATTATAGTCGATCACCGCTAGTTATAATATATTCCCATGAGGTTTATATATTTAATGAATGCTAGATCATTGTATTCTCGATTGTTAGATTTATCTTTTGAATATTTTTTAGATTTTATCCGAGTAGTCCAAAAGTTATTCTATGTTTTCAAAGCAGAATATCATTCTATTTTATTAGATCATGTGGATTATCAAAATTAGTGTGAAAGAGAAAAATGAAACTTAACTATAAGATGATTTGAATTTAGTATATATATGTATATATATATATATATGACCCGATTAAAGTACTCAGACAGATAAGGAAAAATGAAAGTTGAAACGATAGAGACGGACAGTAAAGATAATTGGCCACCATTCATTTTGATTCTTTTATGGCTTTTTTTTGTAGGGGTCCAACTGGGTTGATGCGGTGTCGTTTTTTCAATAGACGAAAACCTAATTGGGACCCATTAATCAGAGTTGTAGGACCCCCCCCCCCCAATTAAGGACATGACAAAAAGTAACCCAAAAGAAAAATCATATCATAAACTTTAGTGGCCCCCGCCGTGCTATAAAAGTCATTCTCATCCGAGCAGCAGCAGCAGCAGCAGCACTTTGGAAGAAAAATATCCCAAGAAAATAATTAATTTTGTAATAATTTTTTTTTTAATATTTACTAATAATCCAGTAAGTTTTTTATAATAGTTTTACATTAAAATAATTAAGTTTTATTAGTTAGGGTTAATGTAATGGGTTAAAACCTAAACCTAGATTTTTATTAATCAAGAATTCTTTTAATATTTGAAATTCGTGCATAAATTAATTGTTTAGTTGATAATAAATATTATATTATATAGTATCTAGTAATTTAATTTTGATTATCATACTTTCACACATTAAATTTAAATCATATTGATATAAATAAAAACCTATTTGAGATTATTTAAAAAATTAGTCAATTAATTTTTTGAACCACAGTAATTTTAGAATATAATAATAAAAATAAATAAAATTTAATTATTAGTATCAGAGTGGTGTGATTTATAATAAATTTATTTAAAGGAAAAATTATTGCATATGTGCCTGCAATTCTGTAAATTAATTTTTTTAATTGTGCATAATATTATTATAAATTTATTTACGTATATATCAATAAATCTTGATTAATAAATATATTAGTTTTTGTAAATAAAATCTGATTAAAATATTCTCAAATTGCACTTTAAATCCCAAATTCAATTATGATGAGCTCCATCGGGCTTACTATGAACACTCATGTATAATATTTTAATTAACTCTAAAGTCCCTAGAGTACCTATAAATTGAAAACAATGGCTGTCCACTAACTTTCTGACTCAAGGTGGTGACTGGGGCAATGTGGAATCTCTGAAACTTGTCTTCGAATTTGTATGATGTGTTCATGTGTTTTGTAATTTCCTTCGTTTTCTCGGGGACCATTGAAACCCCTGCATATATATTCACCAATCAATTTTCTCCTTTTTAGGTTTTTATCGTGTGTAAATTCCCTTGGAAAATCCTTTTTTTTTTTTCTTCTCTTGAAACCGCTAGGGTTTCAGATTGAAATCTGTATCGAAACGATCTACATTCGATTCTTTTGTCGATTCTCCATCTCTCTCATCTTTCTAGTCACTGAATCGTAATAGCTCGAAACGGTTCTCTTAATTTGCTTCGTGCCCATTTTTAATACTTGGTAAAATTGTGAGGTTGAACATTGGATTCGAAAAGCAACCTTGAGGAATCAGATCTATCTGGGTTTACTTTGAATCGCTTTAGATGTGTTGGGCATTTGTGCTCTGTAGCCAGTCTTTTAGTCGGTAGACAGAAAAAGGCGATTCGGATACTTATTGGTGATTTTATAGGCGCGAATTCTGTTATCGAGGTGCGGAGAGCAGAAAATTTCAAAATTGGGCTTGAATTATCATCCAAGGTCAGGCTCAAAATTTGAGAATTTGTTGTTGCATCATAAAATTGTGCGATTTGGTACTTGTGATGGATGACGGTGAGCTTGAATTCTCGAACCAAGAAGTGTTTTCAAGTCCAAATATGGGTGATTTACCGGGCTGTTGCTCAATGGATAGTTTCTTTGATGAGCTTCTTAAGGATACCCATGCTTGCACTCATACACACACTTGCAACCCACCTGGCCCGGATTTCTCGCACACCCATACTTGTTTCCATGTGCACACCAAGATTCTGCCTGCTTCGAATGAGGAAAAGGTTTCCACTGATGACACTGCAGAGTCTTCAGAGAAGAAGCCAAAGAAACGCCCAGTAGGAAACCGAGAAGCTGTTCGAAAGTATAGGGAGAAGAAGAAAGCAAGAGCTGCTTCGTTGGAGGATGAGGTTGTGAAGCTGAGGGCTTTGAATCAGCAATTGTTAAAGAGGTTGCAGGGTCAAGCTGCTTTGGAGGCCGAGATTGCCAGGCTCAAGTGTTTATTGGTGGACATCCGTGGAAGGATTGAAGGAGAGATTGGATCCTTTCCTTATCAGAAGCCAGCCAATGTAAACCTGCCTGCAGCAAATATGCCCGGTGCTTATGTGATGAATCCCTGTAATATGCAGTGCGATGATCAAGTTTATTGCCTCCACTCTGGAGTTGATGGGAGAAGTGGAGAAGTTGTGTCCCTGAATGGACAAGGCGTCAGCGGTTGTGAATTTGAACACCTTCAGTGTTTGGCAGGTAATAACTCAGGAATTAAGGAGCTTCCTGCTTGTGGAGCTGGAAATGCAGCAACCAATGTTAGTTCTGGTGCAAATAAGAGAAAAGGTGAAACTCATTCTTAAAATTCAGACCTGTTACTTTTTCTCTGTTACTTTTTTATTGGGAGAGAACGTGTCATGGTTCTTTTAGTTAATTTAGTATGATTTGCATTTTTGAGAAAATCTTTATTGTTTTTGTCGCAAGCAATGGTTCTTTCCTTTTATAAGAACAAGATAGAAAATAAGTTGGGTCATTCATTAATATGTACCATGTCTTTTCCTGAGTGGCATGCAGATTAAAAATGCTAGTGGAATTGTGGAGCTTTTGTCCTGTCATATCAACTGATCTTTTGGGTGACATGAGAGATAGTTAGAGGGGACCTTTTGTCCAACATCATTAGGATTATTCCATAGGATTTTGATTCAGTTCTATCCTAGACTGCTTGCTTATTCTTATGGTGTGATGCTTTGCGATTGCATGATATAATGTCAAGGACATAAATCTGTAGATGTTACGGCGATAAGTTGTAGTTACATAAAAGATTTCAATCC